AAATAAGCCTAACCTATATTTTCATGCAAATACATATAAAATTAATGACTAGATTTATTTAAATAAGTATTTCTCCGAGCTTCTAATTTTATTATCTTCATTTATTTTACTCAATTCCTGCTATGCTTATTTTATTTTATCATAATTTTCTTTTAAATTCGTTTTTTAAGTATAAATCTACGGTCCAGGCAAACTACCTAAAAAATACTCAAAATGAGCCAGCTATGTGAATGAAATCATATAGGCTTGTCTTGATATTTAACTCTTCGCTATGTTCATATCGATTCCAAGTTTAGTTTTTCCTTTTCCTTCTTTTTCCTTCATGATTTTGGAAATAAAACTGCTACGAAGATCCATGATTAGGTTATTTACTTACCGGGGTCAAAACTCAAGTCTAATTTGACACGCTAAAATGTAGGCATGAAACATTATTGGCAGAAAATTGGCGGGGGCGTCGAAATTTTCTATATTATATATATTCCCGTAACTGCATTTATGTCCATTCATAATATTTGCAACTGTGCAGAAATAATACCAAATATTGGAGGATTTATAATATCATATACGAGTAATCGTCTACATTTTTGTTTTTCCTTTTGAATCATTTCACCTAGGTGGGTTGCTGACGCATAAAAATCACCTTAACCACCCTTTTTAATTGCGCCAACCCTAAATTGAACCTTCTGTGGTTAAAGCTCGCTCAATCCCTACATGCAATATTTTGTGCATGGCAGGATTCTTCAATATTGCACATTAAACTTAATACCTACTATACTTAGAAAAATATTGCAAATTTGAATTATTGTTTTATAAAATCAGTCCATCTTCGTTTATTGCAAATATGCCGGGCAATAATTTCAATACAATGATCTACTTCGAGCTCTCTGAGTAAAAAAGTGAAAAATGTCAAAATATTCGGGTTTTTTTAAAAATATAATCAGAAATGGTGATCACTTTTTACGTAAATCAATGAAAATATCATCCAGTACAGCTATAACCCTAATTCATTATGAGATAAAAAATTGAAATACTTAGGTACGCTTTTCTTTGGTCAGGCGAGAGCCTAATTGATACTTACGAAATAATGAAAAATGAGCTGGCACAAGAAATATGAGAAAAATAATGAACAGAGAATAAGATGTGTGAGAGATGACATCCGCATCCGTCAAATAATTTGCTAAAATTTTTCATGCGCAATAAGAGGAAAGTCAACGCTGTTAGTCTAAATGCAGGCAAGAAAGAAAAAAAAAAGGTAAGCGGGCTGATTTTTGAAATCGATAGACAAAGCAGAGAAAGAGAAAATAGAAGGATCCTATTGGACCGCGGTCCATTTTCCTTTCGACGGTGAAACTACCAAACCACGTATCTCGTTTGCGGTGTTTAAAAATCTACGCTCGCATTTTATTTTTTTGAAGTAGACCAAATCAATATCATTCCTTGAAATTTTCACAGAATTTTCTCCGCACGAAGAGGAAAAATCACAGAAATTTTCAAGACTGGACGTTAAGTAGTTTTTCATTTAAAAAATGAAGTATGACAGGAAGTCTGCGACGTCGCAAACCGAGATACGTGGTTTGGTAGTTTCACCGTCGATATCTGTTTTGTCTATTGTTTTGCCTACTAATTTCAATGATCTGCTCGCTGTGAGTGAGAGGAAATTAAAAAATCTCTCCTCAAAAAAGACTTGAAAAAGCCTCTAGTAACTGCAGCTTTTGTTCTCAGATAATTAATATTAATGGTTCGTTATTTTTGTCAGATAGCACTGCAAAATCAGCTCTTTCCCCACAGCTCTCTTCCCAAAATTTCAAACCCACGAAAAATATCCACATTTTATCGAAAAACCTGGCAATCTTATGGTCGATAATCTCACATAATTTTCAAATCAGACAATAACCAATCGGGGAGGTGGCGAAATAACGTTGAGTTTATGATGTACGTCACGAGCAAGATCGATCAGATCGATAGACATGAGCACTGAAGATCGAGGAGTGCGAATTAGCCTCAGCTTGAATGAGAAATTGTTGCACATTTATCATCTGTTTCTGGAAAAGTCGACCTGCTTTTAAAGTAGATCAGCAGAGGCATTATTCTACGATTTTTGTAAAAGCATATTGAATTTTTAGAATGGTTGAATGAACAACTAATGCCTCGGGGAAGTTACATTAATTCAGATATTGTGCAAGCAAACCGAGAATTCCCACGAGTCCATGATTCCAGCGCAAGAATGCATCATCGGAAGTGATTCAGTAGCATGTGTTGTATTCTTTCTAATTGAAGGCACTTTTACCGGACGGACTCGAATATCGAGCATTCGAGCGCTCACCCTCCTGAGCAGTTGTGTTGTTAAGGTAAACCCTGAAAATCGATTCTTTTCCATAGGTTTAAGCGGCAGATAAATCGATTCATCGCAAAGCACTGCTCCGCGTGATTTAGAATTTTTAAAGGATTTTTTGGCAAATGTGAAAGTACTCGTTGGGCTAAGTTCACTTAACTCTTTGCGACGTCATACAGCGGCGTTTTTCCTGTGAAGTTCTGTACTTCCGTAAAATATATCACTCTCTCTCATCTCCTCCGATAAATTGTCCACTTTCAAAACCGAGGGTAACCATGTGCTCAGCTCATTTACCCAACAGTTTCAGTTTGATTAAAATTTATTTAATTTCAGACTTTTGCAAATTAGATGTAGCTTAACAGTAAGGATACATATCTCCATCAAGCATTTTCAAGAAGAGCCTATTTTAATTTGACCTTAATTTAGCAGTAAAAAGAAAAACAAAACAAATTACGGTCCCAGTGCTGTGAGTAATAGGATGGTAGAGTAGTGCTGGATCCACACTATTCTAGAAGGTAAACAAAACTGAGAAAAACCAAACAGTAGAGTTAGAGATTAAAAAAGACTTCTAATACGTTTCAGTGCTCATCTAAAGAGGGGTTAAGCGTTCAGCTCGGCGGGTGCGTTGAAAATAATTTGCTGGGATCCTTTTGTCAGACCAACGGTGGAGTCAATATTAATGGGGCACATTGCCTGGCCAACCAGGTCTCAGCTTATTGTTAGTACTCTCGCACACCTCAGACGGCACGGGCACCTCCAAAGCCTCAAGCTATGAGGAGGTATGGCATAAAGCATAGTTTCATACTCCACAAGTCCTTCAGCAAATTGAAAACAAAACTTGGATTTATCGAGATGTTAGTCTCAGGCAGACTGTTTGCCTTTTTTTTAGAATTCAGTGTTGGATTTTTTAAGGTCAAAAGTGACGTTTCTGGTTCAGAATGATGACATGATGAGTCAAAAATAGTAAGCAAATAGATAAATACATAAATTTTAAATCATCACTCCCCGATGAGGTATAATATCTATCGCTTTAAGTGGATCTACAGCGAGAGTAAGCAAACATCGATGTATCGAAGAAAATTTATTGAAGGAGTGGTTTCATTTTATTTGTTTAGCAAAAAACTATCCATTACGCCTCGAATTTTCTGTTCGTTTCCAAAAAATCTTATTTGTAAAGCTGAAATTAAAGCTGAGACTATGGAAACGCGATAACTAACCGTCGCATTTGACTAATATAGTGCAATATTCTGTGTTCGTATACTTTCAGCTTTACTTTAGAATTTACCAATACATTAGATTCTTAGGGAAACAATTGCTAAAATATGTGCGTGTGGGCGTTATGAATCTGTTTTTTGCCATCAATTTTCAATGAGCCCCGTACTTAATTTGGAAAAATATAGTGGATAGATATGATGTTCGTTCAAGTGTAGATTCACCTCAACACCATCCAAGATGAGAATGTTAACATCAAATTGGACGTATTTATGCTAAAAGGAAGCAGAGACAGGTGGAAAAGAAGGAGTGTGCTGTAAGTTGAGATCCGTGAAAATGAATGGGAATTATAAAGCGTCAGTGCCAGTGTTGTCAGTGGCGACTGCACGTGGGAATCTTTAACCAACAAACCCCATTAAGAACGCTCTTTTCTCATGCCCAATGCCCATGGCTCACGAGTTAGCATATTTTGACGCTCAGTTCCTTTTTGGTTCAATGTCAAATCCCACTTTTCCATTTCCCCAAAAGTAATCAAGCCCACTTTTACACCGTTTCTTATGCACCTTGCAAGAGCACACCCCATCTTCCCCACACGTCTCTAATTCCTTCTGGCACTCCCGTCAATGAGGTTAGGACGCGAGCAGTTCCACTTTCTGCCCCCTAACGAGCGACCGCTCCATGTGGGGTACGCTTTTTCATAAGCCACCACCATTCTATAGTTCTTATATCGTTGGTTTAAGGGCCGGATACACCTGCGCGCTTCACGCGCGTCTTGACCGGAAAAGCCATTGGCGCATCCAGCGAGTTGGCAACACCGGATTCCCTCCATTTAAACTTATGGAAATGTATCGATTCTTGGAGGGGTCAGGTGCTCCGACAAGAATCGATTATTTAACATACGTATAAATGGAGGGAGTCCGGTGTATTGCCAAATCTCTATATTCGCCTCTAAAAGTAGGATCCGATCTTACTTTGAGAGAGTTACGGACGGCGAGTTGCAACGACCTGAGTCGCTCGGAGATGGCCGAACATGGCCTACTCACCTCTCGAGACGCGCGTCTAGCTCGCAGGTGTATTCGCCCCATTAGAACTAGGGGGCGGTGACAAACAAAATCCAGCGGGACGCAAATCAACTGGACGCATTTCTGTCAAACGGAACTAAGCGCCAATTTGAGTTCCTTTTGAGAAATTTAGAATGCCGGATAGCGCGTTCTGTCAAACGGAACTAAGCGCCATGGAAAAGCATTGCGAGTATAGGACGGAACGAGCCCGACGCCCGGTTCCGCCGCCAATCCAAGCCCCCCGCTACCTCCCTCCTCCGATGGCGCTTAGGTCCGTTTCACAGAAATACGTCCAACTCATCGTCAGGAGCCACCGGAGCTGGCGTGGATTTTGTTGCGCAACTACGGCAGTCGGCGAGTTGCTCAGCTAGCGCGTCTTATTTTGCACGGCGTCGTGTTATCTCGTGGAGGGATTCTAGTAGATCCTCGTGGAGGGATTCTAGTAGATCCTCGTGGAGGGATTCTAGTAGATCCTCCTGGATGGATTCTAGTAGATCCTCCTGGAGAGGCTGAGCTTCCAGATGGAGATGGGCCGCTTGAAGACGGTGACCTGGCCCTGCTCCTTGCCGCCGACGAGGAAGATGGAGAAGGCGGTCTCGCGGTCGTAGCGGCCGGCGCTGTAGGCGCGGCTCTTCTTGGCGCTCTGGAGGCGGTCCCGGTCCTTGGCCATCTGGCTCGAGTGGCTGTTCACCAGGGAGAGGGAGCGCGGAGGGATGGGCTTCATCTCGACCATCTCCTGGCGGGAGTTGCTCCGACCCAGGTTGTCCTCCAGGAGGCTGTCCGGCGGCGAGTTGAGCACCTTCACGCAGCTCCGCCGCGAGATCATCGTCTGCACGTCCGGGCCCAGGTAGTTGGGGTTCGCGAAGCTCAGCGGCGTCCGCTTCGTCTCCTGCAAAAAAACGTTCGCCGAAATTATTCAACTGTACACAATCAAAAGAACTAGATCCACCCTAACATAAGACTGGAGTCCCTTTATACTGAGAGTCAAGACAATGCGAATCCATTTCTGATTGGTTAACCGGATTTTAGGCCTTCACAAAGTCACAAACGGGAATAAAGATTACATTTTCACCAATTGCAAAGATTATAATCTGGAATGGACCGAGGAATTTCGGGTTCAACAAGAAACAAACGGAATGAGAGAAGGAACGGAGAAAGGAATTTAAGAATGAGCCGATCAAAGATTACGAAAAACGTTCAATTTGTGTAATCTTTATTCCCGTTTGTGACTCCATGAGGGGTGTTGTCTTGACTCTCAGTATAAAGGGACTCTAACTATATCCACCCTAACATAAGACCTGAGATCCATAAGTATACATATATAACATGGCTCATTTCACAATGTATTTTGTTCTTTCTATTCAGATGCGTCCTATTCACTGTCGTCCCTTAAAAATTTATTTTCCTTTGCCCCAAATCGTCTACATTGTGATACAGGAAGCTTCAATAAAACCCTTAAAATATGAAAAAAGCAAAATAAAAAGGACAACTTTTGTTAACCTGCTCGAGTGAATTTTCAGAATACATTTTGGAATGGATCCTCGTCAGGGATTGCAATGATTTGCCTCTGCGAAAGAACACAATCCGGAAGGAAAAAATTCTATGATTTTGACATTTTAAGGTAGAAGCAAATCTACTTTGAAATGTCCAAAACCGCACGCACAAATATCGGTACCGCACCCCAAATAAAACTTTACGCAGATTCCTTACTAGAAAATCTTCTTAGTATGTGTCCCATTGGGTTCTTGTTTGACTCTAACTTTGGTTGAAAATTAAAATGGCTCAGAATAATATCACGTACGCCCTTATCAAATCTTCATCATCATCCCTGTAAAAATATTTATGTCTTCGCCCGAGGTATTTTTCTCACAGAGTTTTGTCTGATTGACCAGCGCAAAGAAGCACGACGTTTTTTCGTAGCATGCCTATGTGTGTCTATCTTTTTATTGATAACTCCTCAAATCTTGAGAAACGTAGAAACATTCGAAATACAGCCAATCGGCCAATATACACATCAATGAGTCGTATTAACCAGGATTAGCCTGCGGGAAGGAGAGTTTGAACGGGAACTCAATGTTTCTAGCTTTGCGTTAAAGTCTCCTTGGAAGTCTCTCTCATACTATGCTCCAGTCCATCTCAAGATGCGTTGAAACATTCAAGATACACTCAGTCAGTGGATGCAAATATAATTAACTTCGGTGTGGGTTAGGCTGCATCGCCGAATTTGAAGGCGAACTAGTATCAATTTTGTTTCCAAGCTATGCACCCTACGGCGCGCCTTTACGTTGGCGCTCCAACTCTTACGCTGTATGTGGCACCGTCATTCATATTTCGCGATGAAGAGGAATTTGTAGTTTATGGATAAAAATGAAAAATTCGGTTGTTGCCAAATTTTTTCATAAAACACCGATTCTCCAGGAGATTTTTAAATATTTTCTTCCAATGTTACAGAGAGGTTCCAGTGTTCAAAATTCGAGGAATTTTCGGTCGTTTTTCATATACACCTCTTTTCTTTATTAATCTTAATTTACCAGATATGAATGGGTTAACTCATTCTCTGGATGACCCTCGTTTTCGAAGATATAGCACGGACAAATATATCGGTTTTTTTTTTGACGGTATGCGGTACCGATAAATAACGCAATTCTTAAAAAAATAGGCGGCACTGACTGATTTCTTAGATTGAGAGTACGCGGCCTGCGAACCGATTATTGAAATTGATAGACAAAGAAGACAAAAGGGGTTTGGAGGGATCCTATTGGTGGAATCGGGTGGTTGCAATGGACAAATGAGGTAGGTGATACGGCAACTCACGAGAGACCCTATAGTTAGTCCATCATTTTCTTCCTTAGTCCATAAGAATCACCCACTTCAACTACTTCCATACTCCGTATGTCTTCTTTGTCTATAGATTTGTCTATCAATTTCAAATTCAGCCCGGTGTCGGGAAAAGGTAGAGATTGAGTGTGTACCTGGAAGCTGAGGCGATTCATGGTCTCGATGCTGGCGTAGTCGGAGGTTTGGTCGGAGGATTCCTCGGGCGTGACGTACGGGTTGCCGAAGCGGGCGGAGGCGGAGGTCGGGAAGCTGCGGCGGTTGAGTCGGTTCGGCTGGAACTTCTGGTGGATGATGGAGAAGTCCTCGATCTTGGGGCTCTGCACCAGGCTCGAGGGGGCCTGCTCGTCGTCCAGGTAGACCAGCTTCGTCGCCTCCACCGGGGTCAGCGTGCAGGCCGCCAGCGACTTGAAGTTCGGCACCGAGCACGGGTCACGGGACAGGGAGCTGACAACATCAAACATTCCCCTTTCAAACTCATTTCACCCCAGAGACACATAACATAATTGAGGAGTTAAGTGCAAAAGGGGCGTTAGGTCCATGACGCCCCTTTTGCAGAGACTGGTTTTTCTGAATCCTCATATCCTAAAATGTAGGTGTACCAATTTTCATATTAAAATGTCAAACATTCACTGAGATACAGTAATTTTAAAGTAATTTTAAAGTATGATACAGTAATTAAAAAGGGGCGTCATTGGAACTTTCGTATTTCTCATATTTTAAAAAAAAACCGCGATTATTCAGAGCTTCTAATTGTACAAACTTAAACTTGATAAAATTATCTATATTTAAACTTACCACATTATTTCCATATCTTTAAACATACATTCTATTTGTACAACAACAAACTTTGAACACGAATAACTCAAAACGCGATTTTGTCAATGACGCCCCTTTTGCACCTAACTCCTCAATTTATAGTCGCTTCTAAAACAGCTCCTTTCCTAAGGGCACCCCATTCGGTTTGCCTGGGATTAAGGGAGGTTTAAGTAGCTCCTCAAAATAGCACCATCGCGAAAAAAGAGTACGGGGTTGTTGGATCATATAGATATTTCCAATTAATTGTGATATTACCCCCCAATTAATTAGGTTACCAACCTAAATGTTGCGGTGCTACCACAAATAATTGGAAATGTCCACGCCATTCAACAAATTGGAGTTGCGCCACAATTTTAGGGTATGACCTCTGATACTTTTTCTTCGTGACGAAATGGATAATTTTTCCCAACATTCAGCAGTATAACTTTGGGAATAGGTCCTTGAAAGGAATTAAAATGATTTACCACTACAAAATATGCAAAATACGAAAGAAAATATATTGCGAGTATTGTAAATTTTAAGGTAGGTTCGCGGCTACTTTGAAGTTTGTTAAAATCATGTAATCTTTTCCTCCGTATTTTATAGTGGAAATCATTGAATTTTTTCACAAGGATCAATTTCCGAGGTCATACGAGGAGATCAAATGTTAAACCGTCAGACTGAATAGGCGGCTTCTATGGGTCAAAGTAAGAATCCGTGAATTTTTTTCCAAGAGTGCTTTTTAACGGGACTATACAGCCTCTTAAAATTCTGGAAAATGGTTAATTTTTCCTGCATTTTGGCAAAGGTGTGCACGCGAAGATTCAATTTTAAGCAGTCTTAGTTTAAGATTTGTGACGCAGATAAAGCTCATTTGCGGAGAATACGATTAAAAGTCGAAGATAACCTGATATTTAGTAAAAAAAAAAAAGGAAGGAATAGAGTCCCTTTATACTGAGAGTCAAGACAACACCCTTCCTGGAGTCACAAACGGGAATAAAGATTACAGAAATTGAACGTTTTTCGTAATCTTTGATCGGCCCATTCTCGAATTCCTTTTTTCGTTCCTTCCCTCATTCCGTTTGTTCCTTGCCGAACCCGTAATTCCCCGGTCCATTCCAGATTATAATCTTTGCAATCGGTGAAACTGTAATCTTTATTCCCGTTTGTGACACTGTGAAGGCCTAAAATACGGGAACCAATCAGAAATGGATTCAAATTGTCTTGACTCTCAGTATAAAGGGACTCTAGGAAGGAAGAGGAAGTGACACTGACCTGAAGTTGATCAAGGGCTGTGGGACTTGGGGCGAGATGAGGGAGCGGGCGATGATGTTGGCGCTCTGGGACTTGACCATCTCGCGGAAGCTCATCTCGTGGCGGGAGGGCTCCGAGTCGCTGGAGTTGAGGCTCTCGTTGCTGGAGAGGACGCTGTAGTGGCAGTTCTTGGTCTGCTGGTTCTTGAAGCGGGAGAGGTTGATCTGCGAGAGCTTGGTGATCTCCTTGAGGATGTTGAGGTTCATGGTCGGCGTGGAGGCGGGCGGCTTGCGCGGGGCCAGGCCGTCGTCGTCCGAGTCCCGGTCGCAGAAGGAGATGATCCGCTCGGTGCCGCTCCCGCGACACCGCCGCGGGGGCGCCGCCGCCGGAGGACTCGTCCGGGGGTTGTTGTAGTCCTGCAGGAGGAGCTCCGAGACGGGCAGGGCCACGCACTCGGAGCGCGGCTGCGGACGGTTCCCGTCTGTCGTCACCTTTTCCCACGTTTCGCTACCTGCCCCAAAAAAACAAATATTACTCGCATTGCATTTTGCAAAAAGGAACCAAGAGCATTCCAATGTCGCTAAGATCGTGCAACTATTTTTACCTTGCAAATATAAACAACTCATTTGGTATGGTCATGGTCATGTCCAGAGAATGGCAGGAGACAGGTTGCCGAAGAAGGTCCTTGACTGGGTTCCTCCTGGGAGAAGGCGCAGAGGGCGCCCAATGGAAGGTTGGAGGGAAGGGATTGAAGCAGAAATGTTAAGGTGCTCAATCCCCCAAGATTTGTGGTTTGAAAGAGAGCAGTGGAGGTTAGGGGTCGTAGAGCGCGAGGGAGTGCTGTAAAGCGACTTATATGTATGTAAATATAAACTGAATATCTAAACAAGTTTTATCTCAACTCCCAAAATAAACTATAAACTCAAGATGAAAGTTGACTTTTTTTCTTTTTCTTTTTTTCATAATTTCAGTGATTTTATTGCAACCACGTTAGTTGCACAATCCTAGCAACATTGGAATGCTCTTGGTTTCTTTTTGCAAAATGCAATCTATTTAGTTGTGTTTTCCTTATTGCATATATTCAGTTATAAAATAGCTAAAAATAAGAAATCCGTAGTTATAGATTCAGTTACAAATGGACCGCGTTAAAGAGAGAGGAACCAAAGCCACATCAGCTATTTCCAAATTCAATTGGGTAATTCAATTTTTTACATGAAAACGGTTGTGCGGATTTTCGTGGAAATTTTTGTGGATTTTCACCACAGTACGAAACAAATTCCTTAAAATTTTGAAAGGAATGCGCACAAACGTTCTCTCGTAAAAAATTAAATATTCCAGTTAAATTTGGCAATAGCTGATGTGGCTTGGTTCCTTTCTGTTAAACGCGGTCCAAATGAGATATCCTTAGATGTCTAAGATCCCTAGATCCCAAGGGTCGTACCCTTAAACAGTATTTTCTTAGACAGCGCCTTCCCTGGCCCAAGTAGCAACGATCACGCTAAGTTGCGATTTGATCGATGACGATTTATTGCAATGATATCGGATAAAAAATTGCGATTCCATCGACGGTGATTTATCGCAACATAATCGAACACAAAATCGTGATAAATTGAGGTAAAATTTCGATTTTATCAAACGCAATTGTGTAGAGATAAAATTGCAACAAGATCAAGGATATTTGCTCGTATGCTGAAGGATCCTAGCGATTTTATCACCAAAAAATCGCAACTTAATTTCTAATATAGTGATTTTTTCATAGCAAAATGCTACTTGCTGAGGCGTCCCTCTGTTCTTTTTTTTCTCCTCTCCCATTTGCCGTCAGATAAATATCCACAAGTGAGTTATTTACAAGTTACTCAGAATTGAAACAGGACCAAGATTTTAAAAGAGGGGGCACAGAGACTAAGGCACACAAAAAAAGAAGACTATGTGCCTCGGCTGGTCGTGGAATAGCTGGGATCCGCCATTTGGAATTCGTCGACTATGAGTTGGTCCAGAATTACTATGACTCATTTATTGAAGTGAACTTACCGAAGTGAAACCTCCATAATTCGTTGCAAAGTTGGCCAGCATGTTCTCCGCCAAAAATGACCATTGAACTTGGCAATTTACAAACAGAGTGACTATGAAGAGCTCCCGGATTAATTTTGCATTTTACTAAGCTCCATCTCTTACATACTGTAACAATGATTTGAATAAAGTATATTATAATAATGTACCCACCACAATAAACAATAACAAGAGGCAATGGATTTCTATTATCCACGAGGACGCACCTACAGTGTGTTTACCTACTCCAAGTAACACATGGCACGCACAGGTTGCAGTTAATTGCCACTGGTGGAATTGTAATATGTATTTCCCCTCCACCGGAACGTTGCGTATGTTGCCTATCTAATGATTTAAAGGGGCTCCCTTTTTGACATTTGGACTTCATTTTGCAATTAAGAACTACAATTTCTGACTTATTCGTAAAAAACGCATGTGCAAAGTGTCAACATAGGGAAACTAATGGTACTTACGTTGTTTCTAAACCAAGCCAGAAATTTTAGTTCTTAATTGCAAAATGTAGTCCATTTAATGCAGCGTAGTTGAAATATGTTGCAGTTTTTCTTGCATGGCGAATCGCCTGCTTGTTTTCTGTCTGGTCGTTTGGTGATTTAAAATCAAATTCCACTGGTGGAATGATTTAAAAATAATCCAATTTTATGCTGTAGAAGAATTACACTTAAGGGGGGGGGGGAAAGTCGCAAAACTATGATTGGGACTAAAATACCATGACGAGTTCTTTTTTCATTTTTTACCGTTGTTTTTTTTTTTTGTTATTTTTCTTTCTTTTCGTTAAAAAGAAGTGTCAAATGTCCTTTTTTATATATAGTCGACAGAGAATCATATAAGAAAGAAACGTAAAAAGAAACTAAATCTAAAAATTATTCCCTGGAAGTTGCCACTAATGAAGAAGAAAAAAAGCTGTTAGTTAGCTCTTATTGGATTTCTGACTTCAAAGTTAGAAAAAGGATTTCTCTGCGGGCGGCAATTTGCGAAGACTTGAGTGGCATCGAAAAGAGGTGACAATTATTAATTAAGGTTCAGTGCTCCCCCCTTTTTTTCGTTTTTCCCCCCACTTACCTAGATCAAACCTCCAAAGGTCTCCTCTTTCGTGCAGATCCGTCATTCCACCGTAAATCCACATAGCCTCGTCATGGATCACAGCCGAGTGTTTATGTCTTGCAGGAGGACCATCTTTGTTCATCGCTAATAGGTGCCACGACTCAGTTTCTGAAAAAGATCAATGTATATGATTGTACATTATTGCCATAATTATTATTTCTTTTCCTTCTCTTAGGCTCACTAATCTCGCAATTTATAATTTAAATGAGTTTTTTAATATTTTTTCTGAAACGTCATTGGCGTTGGAAAACTACGGTTGATATTTTAACAGTTTTATTAAAGACTTTTACTAAAATTTTACCTCTTGCAACTTTGACGGAAAAAAGTACTCATGTAGTGTTTCCTGAAACAAGCATTTTGACTTTTTTTTTTTTTTTTTTTTTTTTTTTTTTTTGATGCCTTATTTTAAAATGTATGGTATTTAAAAGTCATTTCGACTGTAAGGTTCTTTTCCCATTAACAGCCACTTGTAGGAATGAAAATCCTAAAAATAACAGGAGCTGTTATTTGCTCGTATTGATTAGATAGTCATGTCTGAAATTATGTTAAAAAACTTTCAAAATAATGTTCATCTAAATACTCTTATCTATTTCTTTATTTGCATCGAAACGCGTTTACAAGCACGACGGGCTATATTAGAGTTATGCGTCACAGAAAAGCGATATACATCGATGTAGGTATTCTCATTTGTAGCATTGGAGGAGATTATGCCATTTTTACAGTTTTGATCAAATTCAATAAAACGGAGAATCTCGGTGGCGACGTCACAACTAACTTTGTCCATATACTCACCGAAATGAAAGGCCCACAGTTCACTGGACGAGCCTCTAAGATCCCTATATCCACCATACAACAGCATAGATCCGCGATGGACCAGTGCACTATGCCCGCGTCTTCCTTTGGGTACATTTGTGCCTTTTTGTACTTTTATTTTCCGCCAAGTATTACTCTGCAACACACACAAGACATTAAATCAAGCAACTTTCCTCCTTTCAAAACAACATTTCAGCTGACGAGGCAAAATTTCGGTCGAAAATGCTGCAAAGTTCATCCCGTTACGTAGGCGGAGCTCAGCGTCGAGACGCCCTACAAAGGTTTCCACAGTTTAAACCAAGTTTTTCGCCCATGCCACAAACAAACTGTGAACATTCCTCGTAATGGTTCTCGGAGGCTCCGGGTAAGCACACTCGTTATTCATGAAGCTCTGTTTACTAGTTCTCTAATGTATGGAGTTGAGAGAGAAAAAAAGAAAAGAAAGTGGAACTTTTTAGTCCAAGTGGGCTAAACCGTGATGAGCGAAGAGAACAGGGGTTGTCAGGAATGTGCAGTGCTGATGTGTAAAAGAGAGGCCATAATTTAACCCTTAGATTCCCAACGTTGTTTTCCAACGCAAATAACCACCGCCGCGTCTAGAGGACCCGTCTTTGAAATACATTCATGGTCTCAGCAGGTTTTTCTTGGAATATGTATAATTGGTAATCTTTTCGGCTGAAAGCAAAAATGTTCCTACTAATATTTTTTACCATTAAAATGATCCAAAAAAGTGGGTGTTCAGTTGACATCATGTCTCACTGATGACGTCATGAACGGGATGAAGAGGGCGAAAAATTTCTGAGCCCAACTTTGAATAAACGGTACAATTTTTAAGTTCAAATATGCACGTCTATTAGACGTCATGAATGCAACCCATGGATGACGTCATCAAGTGAACTAAAAAAGGAAACAAACGGTCCAAAGTCGTATAAACTGCAAAAATGTATAAGCCTGGATCATACACGGAGAAAAGAAACTTCGCACGTGGGACTCGAAGTTGAGGTCATATGGATCTCTGAAGTTTCCGAATCACGTATCTAAAAACTTGAGGTCTAGCTGCCGAAGTTCGGGTCAGACATCTGTAAGTACTTCGATGTATACCGAAGGGTTCGGGTCACACATCTGAAGTACTCTGGTACATACCGAAGTGCCTCGATGGCTGACCCCAACTTCGGCAGCACGACCTCAAGTTTTCGGATGCGTGATCAGAAAACTTCATTGATCCATATGACTTCAACTTCGGGTCCCGTGCACGAAGTTTTTTTCTCCGTGTAGCGTTATAAGTGCGGATACTGATAAGTAACATAAGCATGCTGCTGAAACCAAAATACAAATTTCCACGATTCATACGTCAAAAAAAGGGGGAGGGGGGAGTATTCAAAAAGATAAACCTAGAGCAAACTAACTTCATTTTGCAAGGTCGTTAAAAGGCTCCGATCGTGCGGTGAACTTTGCAGAGTAAACTCAAGCCACTGTACTCACTTGCCAGCAGCGATCGCGGGACGGCATACGTGCTTTTTTATGCTAAGAGAGCGCTTTGAAGAAAATAAAAGACCACTAAAAACTTGTGGTCGACGGAGATAAAAGTGAGCGTCTCTCAACAGCTTCGGGGAGTCCGGAGGGGGGGGGCGGAAAACAATCAACGTTTTCGAGGGACGTATAATTAAAACTGGAAACGGGGGGTCGGAAGCGCGGAAGGTGCGATGCTAGGCGGGAGCAGGTGAAATTTATCGGCTCCCGGTCTCGCCGCGAGAGGTAGGCAGCCGGCATGGCGCGGCGCGCCGACCGCAAACACGCAAACCGGCATCCAGACTCCGAGCTTGCGGCTCCGATAACAGGACGTCGAGCCTGTGCCGAACACTATCAGATTTAGCTCTCTCGTTCTACCATAACTCGGGTCCGAACCCAAAATCCAGGGTTGTCTCGTCCGTTCATAGCCCCCCAGGGATCAATGCCTCAATGACATTTACTGTAACTGGAATAGGTAGCAATGGTGTTTGGATTTTATTTTGCAATTAGGAAATACTTTTTTTAACTCGTCCATAGCAGAGTCCCTTTATACTGAGAGAAAAGACAATGCGAATCCATTTCTGATCGGTTCTCGTTTTTTATGCCTTCACAGTGTCACAGACGGGAATAAAGATTACAATTTCTCCAATTGCAAAGATTATAAACCGGAATGGACCGGCGAATAGGGGGTACGGCAAGGAACAAATTGAATGAGAGAGGGAACGGAGACAGGAATTCGGGAATGGGTTGATCATAGATGATAAAAAACGTCCGATTTGTGTAATCATAATTCCCGTTTGTGATATCCATAAGCCGCGTTGTCTCAACTCTCTATATAAGGGGAGTCTAGTCCATAACAGAACCTATAGCTGCATAGAGAACATCAAAGGAGGAGAAGAGGAGACAGAACTGAAATCTGGAGAGGAGGGGGAAGAAGAATAGGGAATAAAAGAGAGAAAAGAAAAAATAATGGGAGCAATAAAAAAGGATCAAGAAAAAAAGAATGGGTATAGAAGATGAAAATTCAGACAAGAAGAAAAATGTGGGGGAAATTCGCGGAAACGGTGATGAAGAAGAGGAGGAAGAGTCTAAAAGAGAGAGGAGAAGAAGAAGAATAGGAAAAATAAGAAAGAGAAGAAAAGGATAAAGAGGACAACAAAAAGGAGAGAAAAACGAGGAAGGAGATGGTGAAGAAGAAGAGGACAAAGAAAAGGCAGCAGTTTTCTATGTAGTAACATTAACAGCACGCACGTTGTTTTGAGAATGAGCTTGAAAATTAGTTCCTAATTGCAAAATGTAGTATATTCCTCAGTGGGTCTGTTGGACCACTCAAGTGCAGTAATGACGTGGTCAGGAATCTTCCCGTGGTTTTGAGTGCATACTCGTCTATTTGAAGGAGCATCCGATTTTCGTCGAGGAGTTTTCTTTCTCCTAAAGTTGAAAAGTTACACATTAAACCGCGCACGTCGGAAGCAAAAGTTATGACCATCTTGTTGAATCGCATGCTCGCTGAAATAAAAGTTAAACTTAAAATTCCTTCAGATATGCCTGCATAAATAAACCAATCACTCGCCAACCCTTCGATGAAATCAAATCCCTACACTTAAGATTTTGTGTGCAGGATGAGAGTGTCATAGGTTAGGTGTAGAACGAGTGCCTAAGCTTGTAAGAGGAAAATCATGAAAATGCGATGGAATCATGCCATCTCTGCTCACATAGACTTGAATGTTTCAATAAACACACATGAGACAAGGATGGCAACACTGTTGAAAAACTGGCATATCCCTTTTAAAAGTCATCATGCATAACGCCACCGATGCTGATAACCCAGTCTAAAAACAGAGTAAAAGCATTCAAAGGTGCGGCTCAGCGCTTGACGCTTAATAAATTCTCGGATACCCGGCATTGTTTGCATTGTCTTATCTGTAGCAATTAAATACAAAAATAATTTCCCTCGATTGTTGAAAAACGCGCTCTTTTGTTATCTGCGGGTGCCTCTCGTGAAAAAAGACAGGGGTGTAAATACAGGAAGTGGAATTTAACAAACCAGTCAGCATTGCAAAAGATAATGGAGAATGCCTCACTTCAAAATTAAATTAAATAACACTCGCGAGAAAGCAGGGACAGGAATTTATACTCATACAATTTTCGATAATTTGTATCCGATTTTTTTGTTGGCAGAATCTTTGAAATTTGTCTTTCTCTCCCGTCAAGTTTTCAAGTGCGGTTTTTATGCCTGTAAAGTATCGGTTCCAAATTTAAATTACTTTTCCGGATGATTCATAAAAAAAATGCTGGTTGGACCACGGTAGCATCCAGCATCCATTTCTTCCCTGTCATATTAAAAATGATTGGATAACGTTTCATTCGTCAGCGCATAGGCGAATCATTTTTACGAGTGGATTTGGTCAAAGTTCTTAACTTATTGCTGACTTCTGTTGCAACAGAACAAAACATGTGCCCTGGATGTTGTATGAGGCCGGTTCATACGAGCTTTAGAAGTAGGTCTACAAATACGTCGTAAAAAAAGAATCAGACATCAAATTGAAATAAAAGAGGGAAAAAATCGAGTGTTAAAACAGCTAAGTATGGGATGGACATATTCGGGCCTCGTTTTTTATCTTTTCTACCGAATCTGAGCGACACCTCATATGCAGTATAGAGCGCCATTGCGAGTCCACACATCGCGCCATCGCGCCATCGCGCCTTCAATTTTGCAAACGCAACACGGACATCCATCAAGTACGAATAGTTGTATCTCTGCGCCGTCATCAAAGCGCGTCTTTTCCCTGGCTCTGCTTTCATGTTGCGTTGGTTCTGTTTCTCTTATTTGCAGTGGTGCTTCAGGGGCTACGTGAGTTACACAGCCGAAGATAGGAGAGACGTTTAGACCTTGTTTTTTAACTTTTGTACTAAATCTGAGCGACCGACACCGCATATGCAGCGTAGAGCGGAGCATTGCGAGTTCACGCCTCGCGCCGACACGCCTTCAATCTTGCAGATGCTACATGGACTTCCATCATTTACGATTAGTTTTATGCGCTGCCATTAACGCGCGTTGCTCTTTTTTTTTTTTTTTTTGTGTGTGTCGTACTTGTACTACGTGGTTGTGTCTGCAATTTTTTTTTGACGACAAATTCTTGTTATCTTATGCCGGATCTAATAGACCCGACCATCTCTTGTAACAGTCTCATATTGTGAATGGGAAGGAGAGCCGAGAAAGGGCTAGCATGTTACCAAAATAGTGAAAATTTAAAAAATAAGTGTTTCTTACCTTCAAAAACGTAGAAAGAACGTAGATAATACTTAAAAAACTATCGATATCATCAATGTTTTTAAATACGGGTCATTTTTACCCGACTAAGGACTTTGCGTATAAAAAGTTCAAGGCATTCTCGTTGTCTGGGATTTATTAGGCAGAAAATGTTTCTCAGTGGGGATCCGCCACTGCACTACTGACCTATTCTCAGAGGCAAATGAATTTCTCGTCAAATCGTTCTGTCAGATTTTTCGTTCACCGCTCGTGTTTAGTGCGTTGCGTAATGAATGCTCATAAAATATGGACTGCAATAAATCTGTAGCGACTTGAGAACAAAGACGAGGATTCCGATTAATTGGACGGTGATGTATTCTGCCGTACTAAGGAAGCACGCCGCATAAACCGTCAAGCGTTGCCAAATTTCCTTTTATGGAACACAAATTTCCTGGTAAACTTATGAATATTTTTCTTCTAATTTTTTTTTAGATAATTTTCCCTGTAATTTCACCGAAAAGTCCTGAAAATTTCAAGGGAAAATATTCATAACTTTCCTCAAAAATGAACTTTTTATCGAAGGAAATTTGGCAACTCTTGAGTGTTCATACGACCTTCTTCTTTAGCACTGTAGTATTCTGCTATGCTCAGGAAGAACATAGTATCTGCATAGGGATTCCATTGAAGTTACCCTGCTCTCCCGTGGCACGGCGATGTATTGGAACGGGCGTAAAATATGCCAGGCGCGCCGAATAAAGGGTGAGGAGCGGCTTTTAAATTGCCGTTACGTGGCATCAATCAGGAGCTAATTGCTTTGTGCCACGAAAGGTCGCTCCAGAGCCGCCTAAAAATCCCCTTTTTAAACCTCCTCCGCCTTTGCGCAGCCCCTTTTTTAGGCGGACACTTGAACACGTAGTGCTTACCTCACGTGCGCTGTCTCCCGCCTGCGTGACCGGAATGGGGGGAGGGGGGGGGGAGCGAAACTCCCCGGGATCCATCATAATTAAATAGTTTCTCGGATAGAGCCTTTTTCTACAAGGTGCACGTAAAAAGAATTGTGTTGTTAACTAGACTGTCTGGCAGTGCATTGTTTCAAAATCCTCAATTATGATTCAGTCACTAACCAACCAAGATATCATTTTCAACGTTTAAGATTACAGATTCTGTTAAATTAAGCAACTGAAGAAAATCACAATCAGCCACTTATAAGGTGATTCGATAGAAGCCATATTTTGTGTCAGAACGACTTGCGATATAACGCATCGATTGGTTCCATTTTTTCAGCTACATGTCATTTTTCTCAAATTTTGAGATCGCAATTCTGTTGTCAGGAGACTAAAAATCCACTTACCAATTTTGACAAACAAATTCAACGTATTACAGGCGTGGTTATTTTAGAGGAAAATTATCGCATTCGATACTGATATCGAAACTGCACTCGAATGCGATATTTTCCTCTGAAAAAACCACGCCTTTATTACGTTGAATTTGTTTGTCAAAATTGGTAAGTGGATTCTTTAGTCTCTTGACAACAGAATTGCGATCTCAAAATTTGAGAAAAATGACGAGTAGCTGAAAAATGGAACCAATCGATGCGATATATCGCAAGTCGTTCTGACACAAAATATGGCTTCTATCGAATCACCTTCAAACAAGTTGCATTCCTCACATAGTAGGTGGATATAACTGCGGAGGTTTTAACGAATGCAGTTTCGGCTTTTTTTTGAGGCACAGGTCGAATGACGCTTCTTTAAAATTTTCCCTCCCAACGGATAGTGAGAAAAAAGAATTAGAAAGTTTAGAAACTTGGAAAGTTTTTGGGTGTCAAAGAACTTGAATTTTGCAAAATTTGGAACAAAGAGACCTTACGTTGTACCTATACATTTGATTACTGATAAGATTGACCTAGGTACTTGGATGGCGAACATAATAATGCCAATTTTAAGGACATCTCCGCAAGTTAAATAAATTAGGGTGGATTTTTCGTGTTTAATTTGGTCCGAGTAATCATGAAGTTTCATTGACTCCGTCATAACCTTATATTTGAAGTGCATCATTGACAGCCCTGAAGTTGGTCGTCGTAGCACATGAAATTGTCCCTTATAATAAATTGGATAATCAAAGTCAAAGCCATAGAGGAGGCAGAATCGGGAGGGGTTGAATGAATCAAAATAAACATCAGAACAAGAGTACGTGAGCTGAGGAACGATGAACTCGTTATGTAAAAACCGCGACACACCCCCTCCTTACGCGCGGGTGCGAATGGGGTTGGCTGGCCCTTGCAAGTGCAATATTTTTCTTCCACTACAGACTATACACACAACGCAGTGCACCGCCGCAAAATCCACCACTGAGGCCTTAGCCGACGCAAATGTTGCCAAAGGTAAATAAAGAAAAATAACAATAATGTAGGTATGCCTAAGAAAATTAATTCGGCGGAAACCTTTTCCTTGAATATGATAGTTTCCCCTGAAAAATACACATTACGCATAAAAAATTAGCGGATTTTCAAACTAAGACTCTTACGTGATGCTGAATTTCGACCATCCTCTTATGATGCAGCCCCACACTGCCGCCGCCGTGCTAAAGGGGATCGCCATAAGTCGTCGTTTTCCATACGGAAGAACTTAACTACATTTCTACATTGCAAAATGTCCCCTCGCAAATTTTTACTGTAATTAGAAAACTAAGGAGAGTTTCTAACTAATAATGTTACTGATTTTTCCTCCTTCGGCACTCACAAATCAGTATTTTTGACAAAAACTGCATAGTGATACTCTCATAAAGAATTAAAATGCCCGAGTCAATTTTGCAACCCTAGGATAGAGTTGCGTTTTTTCGTCTGGAAAACGACGAAGTATGATTCAAATGTTGCCGAAATTCCCTCGGTAAAATATTCATTTTGAAAAAAATTGTATATTTCTCCAGGGAATTTTCAGATAAATCAGATTGAAGTGGCAATGTGTACAATTCTCTGAACATTTCAAAAGAATAAACCCCAAAAAATTGGGCAGAATTTTTGCTTTGTTAAGAGGAATTTAGTGTCAGCCGAATTCTCGTAAGGTGTTTTCACCTCGCACGGTAATAAATTTCCTTTTCCAAATGCGTTATGCTTTCAATTTTCTAGCGGCCTCTGATTTTAATCGATTTGTGGAACCATACATGCCCATCTGATGATAATTTGAATTTATAGGCATTCTCATAAAAGCTCAGATATGCTGTTTGGATTTCAAAAAGTACCTCTCTCTCTCTCTCCCTCCCTCTCCCCCTTCTCCCCTCCCGCCTGACACCAATCCTCGGATTTGGACTCCGAGTCAAGAACCTCGCAAATTGCACGAAACGGCAACGCCGAGTCTCAACGCGGAGGCATCATCCCTTCAATTAAAGCTCACGGTAAACGGGGGAGGGTCGAGGGATGGTCACCCTCCCTCTACATCAGCTACCCCCATTGAAGTTGCTCCGGCGTTTTACATCGGGAACCAATTCGTCGAGCTTAAAGTTCCGCACTTCTCTCCGATGGTGTCACTTTTGAAATATAAGTTCAATTTTCCGATCTTCCTTTCCATCTTCGCATAATTTTCAACATCCTAACAACATCGCAAATTCAAAATTTTGCAGTACACACGATAAATTAAGACTACCAACTCCTTCAAAGATTCATGCCCTGAACATATTGGAGTTATATGTTGTGCCTCCTTGCACAGTCTGTATTTAATCCTGCATGTTTTGTTCTTGTAATTTACCATTTTATTTTTATTGTTGGTTGTGTAAATTTGTTGCCTTCCTGACATAAGGACGTCAGTGGCGTCAGGACACAGAAGATTCAGTTCAAAATTAAACATATAAGACGAGGCATGTTCAAAACCCTGTCGGTAATTTTCTCATTCATTTTTTAAAGAGGCATTAGACTTTATGTTGCGCAGCAAAATGGGTCATCTAAGTATTTACTGATAGTCAGTTGAAAGAGTTCAAAAACATTGCAGTTTCTTTTAAATCTATACCCAAGAGAAATTTAAAAAAAAAAGTTACGAAAAGTGATAGTCATATTAAGTGTGTATATAATATCCTTAACTTATAGCCTCCTCTAAGAATCTTATCATATTTCATTATGCACGATAGCTTCAGAAATTCAGATTCATAATAACCTTTTAAAAGAATATAACAGCAAAATATTACCACCAGTCAATTAGTTAGTATCTGATATGAAACCTTCGAGTTATTTTCAGAGAATCGGCAACGTTGACTGTTGTGTGCCGGAATGAGGGTGCTAAAATCAGCCCCCGTTCTCGGCGACCAAGGCCCCTGCCAACGCTCGGTATGCAACCCAGCTCGACTCACTGCGCTGCTCCCTCATCCGCGTTGATACAAAATTACGTAAAAGTATTAAAAAATGCACGTAAACACAGCGCTGAAGGCTGAAGAGTGACGAGATAAACTCTTCTGACAACCCTTTCGTTCGCAGCCCTGGCTTAAGCAGGGTGCACGCACTCCTGATATAGCTTTTCCTCGAGTAAATAATTTTAGTTTTTGACCTCTTATTCTTCATTACTTTTTATTCCGATTGGAATACTTGCAGGAATGGGGGCAGGTACCAGGTACCGATTAAACTATTAGACTGGTTGGTCTATTCTGAGGTCGCAAAATCCACCTGCACTAAACTTTTTCACATGAAAATTACTTCCATATTTCTGTCAAAAATATTGTGGATTTTTAACCGTAACTCGAGGAAAAATCTGGGAAATTTTCGAAGGAGAATACGTACTTGTTTCCAAGCATAGGTACGAATTGTGAGTCGCAATTATTATGCACAATTGAAATGGACGTATCCATACCTTAAGGAAAATTTGGCAACTCTCGAATATTCATACGGCGTTCCTCCTTAGCACGGCAGAATAGGGAATTGAAGAATATATCATACCTTGACGTTATAGACCCACAAAGGGGTTTCGTTGCAAGCCGAAAATCCCAGTTCTCCGCCGAAAACATAAATGCAGTCTTTGTAAACAACGGCCGAGTGCTCCTGAAGACATGGCGGCTTGTCCCCACTGGGCTGCAGCACTTCCCATTTATTCTCAGCTGTAACGAGACCCACAGTAAGAATTAGGAAAATAAAGGCACCCACAACTGCGAGGGTATAAAAAATGGAGTGTGGCCTGCAAGTTAAAAGGATTAGCAATTTAACAAACGAACCCTTGGTTAAAGTTGGTGAAAAATATGACGATGTCACTTAAGTCCCAAGCTAGAAAGGGAGGGGTGACCTCTTAAAAAAGTTAAAACAGTAATAATAGTACATTTTTGAACAATTATAAAGTCCACTTCTGCAATTAGTCAAAACCTATATTGGAGGTGGGGTCGGAAGGCTGTCATGCAAAGTAGCTTCTTAACACAGGGTTAACAGTATGACACTTATATTCAACATATTATGGCGTATAGAATTTTTCGGCTCACAAAAGTGGATTTTCCAATGTTTGATAATCTACTATTATTACATGCAGGTTCATTTTCAGAAACTCTTTTGTGGTATGAATTTTATGCATATCATTATCACAGACATTATCTTGGCTCCCGCGTAATTGCTTCGCAAGGATAGGCAGTTCGTTCGTCAGTGGCGTGGCGTGAATTGCGATAGATCGATTGTTCTGCCATTTGAACCCATGGTAAAGAATCGATTATTAAGGTGTTCGCTGCGAACACCCTGTTTATCGATCCTTTTCCATAGGATTAAATGGCATAACAATCGATATATCGCAAAGCACGCCACGCCACTGTCGTTCGTCCCAAAGTTCCCTGCACTTCTTGGATCAACATCTTAAAGTGCGGTGACAACGATCTTAAAGTAATTTAAGTAAATAATAAGAAAAGAATATTCTTATATCTTGTAAGAGTTATATTTCCAGGCTCTGCTGAGTAAAAAATGAAGAGTAACGGGTCATTCATATATTAGACGGTTTGATGGACCGAGTTACCCATTTGAGCTCGCAGGAATATGTTTTCTACCATTATTTCTACCTAATTTCTTAAGGTTCCTCCATTCCCTGCTTGCCAAAAAGTGGGACCAGAGGTTGTAAATTAAGAAGATTACCACTGAAAAAAAGATCGGTAGAATTTACCATTCCTTCACGCTGTATATCACACAGCGTGAACTCAAAGTCTGTTCTGCCAGAGGAATGGTTCCTGCACCAGTATATAGTAACGTTCACCTTTCTTCGGCAGAATTGACTCTGCAATGTCGCTGTTTGAAATATAGCGTGAAGGAATGGTAAATTCTACCAATCTTTTTTTTTTTTTTCAATGTAATTATTATCTTTTCATCATGGCAACTATCTACTGATTCGAAGGTCCCCAGAACCAGAAAACAAGAAAATACGGGCATTATCATTTGTACTCACCTATGCTGTACCTCCATAAATCTTTGAGTGGTAAATTTCCGTTTCGACCCCCTAGTAAATACACGTGACCGCCAAGAAGAGTTGCGCTGTGTTTTGACCTGGCTGAGGGGGTTTTCTTTGAGTCGGGACTCGTAGAAATCGGAGCCCACATTCTGCAAAAAAAGAACAGATGACTGTAAATAAATGAACGCAAATCATTTTTCGCCTCAAGTGAGACGTCAGTACACAACAAACAGGGCTATACCAGTCTACTTACAACTTTCTCTTCAGTGTTAGGGTTTGAAATACTTTTTTTTTCATTGTAAGAGATTAGATGGAAGATAGAAATTCCCGGAGAAAACGATTCGTAAAGTACGTAATTATTCCAATTTTCGAAGATCATTTCGATAAAAATGAATTTCCTGTTTGGGTGACCCGCCACAGGAAGAGGTACTCTAGTTTCAAATATCTCAAAATTGGCAAATTGCACACCTATCATTGCAAAGAGGAATATTTTGCAAACAATTTTGGTGAAAAAAACAAGAAAAAAATGCCAAACCAAAACGGGAGTCAAAGCAATTTGAAATTCGCTCAATATTTCAAACTACATATTTTAGATCAAACGTCATATACTGTTTTGATGTGCCACTTTCAGGCTTAGAATTGTCAGATAAAAACGTAACTTTACAATTTTTTTTGTCTGAACATGAATTACATCGCTTTTAACTTATTTGTTGAAATACTGGGAACCATCTCGTCAAAATCTCAAAACCAAATTTTTTACTTAATTTGATAAAAATCGTCGAACAAGTTTCCTTTTGATATCAAGGTCTCTTTTCCGCGGAGAGTCGCATACTTAGTTCTCTTGGATTTCCCCGGACTAGGACTCGATAATTTAATTTTTCACCCAAGGGAAGCAGAAACAGCTGAACCGAGTGTGGATTAGGTTTTAGAATGGGAGTACTGAGTGAAAACGGGATTCGCAATGCGCTAAGTTGCTTGGATGTTTATAAGAACAAAATAAAAATGCAACAACAATACGAAAAAATAATCCCTCCCTACGCGCATTATTCATAATTTATCCGAGAAGTTCTCTGGCACCGGTAATATTTCAATTCTGCTCGTATTCTGCAAAAATGATCAAATTCATCGCCATTTCAGTAAGTGATTTGATTTTGCGAGCATTCCGTGAAATTGAAAATGTCTTGCAAAAACATGTTGTCAAGTCAAAAAAGTAATCTAACCTTTTAACCGCGAGCATTAAAAGTATCCTTTCCAAATCCTATGATTATTACTTATTTTCATATTTTCATAGCTTAAAAAATTTTATGTATTAGAACATACAAGCTGTCATCCACCCTACCGCGGTGGATGACGTCAAAAACCCGAATTTTCAAAAGGCAGCAACTAGGTTCATATTGAACGTGGAAAGTTGCTTTTTGGACAGATCTTATTATTTTTATCTAACCCCACATCAATGAAGCATCAAAACACGATTCTGTGACCAGCGCAACTGACCCATTGTCCGAAAAAAATCAGCGGACACTGAAAGAACCCTATCGAAAAGAGCACTCAAATCAGTTCAATGGCCTATTTGATATGGATTTAGACTTTGATTTTTTGGCGAGCAGGGAGTTCAGATTGAAGAAACACAGGAATCACTGATTTTTTAGTGAAGAGTTCAATTCGAAAATGTCAGATGCCTCTACCGTGTTCTGCGTAAAAATTTGACGAGGAAATATGCGTCGTCATGATACGTTCTTAAGGCCTGGAAGCATGAGCAAATTCCGAGCCAATCCCGATCGAAGCAGAGCATTTGATGACTGTCGGTCACCATTCAATAGTCTTCTTCGATAAAAATTTGACGGTCCGTCCGATGTTTTTCGGAATGGAGTACCAACATTTATCATTTCTCGCCGTGCAGAACATTTCTGCCAAGTTTTCATTTAGGCCTGGATACACGCTCATATTTCCATCAATATCCGATCAAATGGTGACTGGTGCGTACCATCTACCATAAAATGTTTGCGGCCTGCAATAATTTGACCGCCATTTTTGTCATCATTTTGATCGGAAATTGCCGGAAATTTGAGCGTGTATCCAAGCCTTTTGGAAATAACGAAAAGTAACGATTTGAGGACTGGTGACTCATGACACTTAGATGGTAATTAGTTCGGGAATTTGATCGTGTATCGATACCTTTAGCCAGTGCAGTTGTCTCCTTCAACGTGGGTGGAAGGCAATTTGGCAGCTCTGTTTTCTGTTCCCGGATCGGCGGAATGAGAGACGCAGGAAAAATTGTTCGAACTTTTCATTAAAAAGGAGCGAGAAAAAGCAAGCGTCGCGACGCCCGCTCTGCGTCGCGTCGTCACGTGGAGGAACGAGGGAGGAGGGGGCAGGAGGAGAGGAGAAGCGTATGCAAATAGTCACAAGAGGGATGTCTCTCTCCCGGGTCCAAGTTCATTACCTAATGAGTTTTTTCACCACCCTTCACCTCCGTCATCATAATATTTAGTCTTAATTTTCCTCCAAAGCCGCCGGATTTCGGACTGAATCTTAAGCATCAACCTGAATCTCACAAGACGCGTTTTTTTTTTTTTTTTTTTTTTTTTTTTTTGAGTCACCGAGGGATTTTTAGTGCACGGAGTGAGTTCATAATCACAGCTGATGTTCTGTCCTAACGACAGAACCAGTTCGTTGTTATCACAGGAAAATACGAGGATCGTTCAGAAAGTAAGTTTTACTTATTCATACATACATACATACATACATACATAAAGCCGCTTTTATAGCGCCGCCTCGCGCTCTGCGACGCCCAAACGCCATTGCCCCCTATCCTCCCAGAGATTATCAGGCAATTGGCACCCTCTGATCTCCTCCTCCACCCCTTGTCGCCAACCTTTCACAGGACGTCCACGCCGTCGCCTTCCGGGAGGAACCCAATCGAAGACCTGCTTGGGAAACCGATCATCTGCCATCCTTCGCACATGTCCATACCAGACCAACTGCTTGGACCTGATATCGTGCACGGTGTCCTTCTCCACACCCATTATCTCCCGTACCTTTTCGTTGCGGATACGCTCTCTTCGCGATATCCCTTACTTATTCAACATATCCTAAACTAAGACAGATAGAGAAGATCTGTAAGAAGCGTTGAAAAGCCATTACTCTCAGCTTTTTAACGCGTTATATGTGATTAAATTTGGCTCAGTAGAACTCAAGAAAATCGGGTTTTTCAGAGCCCACCTCTTCACCGCACGAGTCAAGAAAAACGGGTTTTTTTAATTTCTGTGAAACCATAACTTAAAAATCTGTAGTGCGTTAAAAATCGGAGAGTAGTGACTTTTTAACGCTTTTTACAAATTTTCTCTAGCTAATTTAGCTTAGAAGATATTGAATAGGTAAACTTACTCTCTGGACGACTCTCGTAAATGGGACAATGATGTTTATTGGCTGAACATTTTTTAAGGAAAGCAGCGCTGCATGACTCGACGGCGTACACGTAGTTACGCACGTTGCTGTTTCTTTTTCAGTTTTTGAGCTAGGCCAAAAACATTCTCCTTTTGCCTCACTATTGTCAAAGCTGTAGTAATTATAACAATCTATAACAGGACTGTTGTCAGTAGGTTAGCGTTCAAAAATATGGCAGTTCAGATCACGCCATTTACCTAACTAGTTGATAATTGAAGAAAACGGTTATCGGTCTGGATTGAGCTCATGGATTAGTAAGATCAAGACTTCCCTGCTAAGGAGGGATGTCGTATGAGCATTAAAATGTTGCCAAATTTCCTCGTCAAAATATTTATTTTTTATTATGTTGCTGAGAAATGAATTTTCAAACGTGTCAGTGCTGAAATTGATTGGCAATTCCGAACAGGAAGGATGCAACACGGTGCTCGTTTATTAACCCATCTGGCAACAGGGCGGCGAAGTTCAACGGTAGAACGTTTTAATGAAACTTTGATTTGCAATAAAGGGATATCTTATGGGATATCTTCATTCAGTATTTTCTTTCAGAGCTAAGCACGAAATTTGTACGACTCGAAGAGTTTTCCCTTTCAGCCGAAAGTTAGACGAAGATGGAATACCCTTGACAGCGTTGCCAAGGATCGGTCAATTACGCGCGATTTAGAATCTATTTTTTCCCATTTGAAGCTATATGGTGAAGAAGCGATTATTACGGAGTCCGACAGGGCCGGATTAAAGGGATGGCCACATGGGCCGCGGCCCATGGCCGCAAATCTAGAGGACGGCAAATTTTGCAATTTGTTTAAATGTAGGTAGGTATAAGAAAATATCGAAATTAGAAAAAAAAATTACAAACGAGAAAAGGCGACAAAATCTCTCATTTCCTGAGAGTATAGTAATTTTTAATTTTGTCGTCTTTCAGTGATACAAGAGACAACACCTTCAAGTAGTCGAGCTAAGAGAGAAACCAAACACGCAATTTGGCCTGAAACGGCGCGGCGCAGAGAGCAATGATGACGAGGACTTGAGATGAAAAGGAGAAGCCCTCGGCGCGGCGATCGGCATGTAATACATATTACCACCTACAAGACTGCACGAATACTTCACGCATTGCATCAAACACAGTGCGGTCATTGCGGTCAGCGTGAAACGGATAGCGCCTACAAGAATGCATGAATACTTCACGCATTGCGCCAAACACAGTGCAGTCTGCGCGAAACGCATGGCGCCTACAAGACTGCGTGAATACTTCACGCATTGCACCAAACAACGCGTCTGCACGGCGCGGCGCGGCGGCGGAAGTTAAAATCATTAAACCACATTCATGTTTGTTCTTTCATTATTTTTTTGTTCATTTCTTATGAATGGAAGGCCTTGTTCACACAGAGGTAGGTTTACGAAACTTAACTTTAGCTAGTAGTGTTGACAGGGCATTCCCAAAACATGTGTTCAACACGAGTAAACGCGTCTTATGCACCCCTCCCCCGCTGGCACGTTCACTTGATGGTTTTTATTGATGTTTCAATACGAATGAGAAGGAGCCGGCAAAATACAGGCGGCCCATGGGCGGCAAGTGGTAAATCCGGCCCTGGAGTCCGATGTGCACAAATAATCGATTCTTTTAAGTATAGGTTTAAACGGCAGACCAATCAATGGATCGCAAAGCACACCAATGAATGTAAGTTACATCCGAACGCCATGTCTT